GTGGGGACACTCCAGCTATTCCAGCCCTGCCAGCATCTGACCACCTTCACAGCAGAGTTCACAGGCTGCTGTTTGTGTCCTTTGCCTCCTGTCCTGTCTGCAGGTGGTGCTGAGCAGAGCCTTGGGCCTCTTGGCTTTATTCCCTTCTACCAGCCAGAGCAGAACAGCACCACCAAGGTGTGTGGGCAGCCGGGCTGGATGCTCTTTATGGGTCCTTTCCCTGTTGAGATGTTCTATGTTTTTTCTAACCAGTGCCTCCCCCCACTGTCTGCACTCCATGTGATGGCCCTGGCTCTCTGATAGAGATCCCAGCCCCTCCACTGCTGTCCTAGGATGTCCCTGTCTGCCCTGGGGTATGCAGTGATGGGGCCTTGTGGCATTTGTTCCCTCTGTTTGCAAAGCTGGGTGGTGACAACTTCACTGTCTTTAAGACCCACAGAGTCTTCTTGGCTAGAAGTGACTCTTGGGATCATGGAGTCCAAGCCTGACCCAAGCACAGCAGGTTGTGCCCCTCTGCTGTCATTGCCAGCAGCTCACTGGAGGCCAGTGATGCCACACAGTGATGCAAAGCAGGATGTGTGTGTTTGCCTCGTGTGACACTTACTGCTCTTATGGTGCTTGGAAAGGGCTGTTCCCCCTCAGCCCTTTCTCCCTTCTCAGCATAAACACCAGCACCAGGCTGCCAGTAATAAGTGCATGTTCAGGGAAGGAGGAGAGGATTGATGCCCAAAAGGTCTCCAAAGCCTTACCCTCAAACTGGTAATGCATGGTTTGGTGGATGCGCTCGGTGACACTGGCCAGCCACTCTTGGAAGGAGAGGGTCACTTGGGACTCGTCCAGCAGCTGGGGACAGCCTGCAAGAGACAGGGAATGGAGACCAGAGCCTTAGGGGTGCTAAGTTTATGGTTGGAACTGATGATCTTAAAGGTCTTTTCCAACCTAAATGATTCTATGACAGCATGAACTGAATGGCTACAGGCATCCACCGAGTCCTGAGTGCTCCTAACCTCTGGTGACATGCATGGCCAAGGCTCACCTTGTCTTTTCAGCGAGGAGGAGGCAACTGCTGGCTTCTTTAGGCTGCTTCTCCTGGGGTTGCTGTGAGCCAGGTCCTGAGCAGGGAGAGGGCTGGCGGCCTGCGCCCCTGAGGGATGGATTAAGAGAGTGTCAGGGCACAAGTCCAGGGGCTCCACGGGCCCCACACAATGGCTTTTGCATTCAACCCACATCCTCCTCGTCCCACAGAGCCTCCAGTTGATGCTCACCAGGTGCTGGGTCCTTTTTCCTCTTCTTGGGCTTGGCAGCAGCTGCTTCTCCAGCTTGCACTGGGGACTGGGGACCAGCGACCGACTGCGGCACCGCCATCCCCTTCACACCTAGGAGAAACACGCTGCTGTCCCTAAAAGCATCAACACTATAAGCACCAGTGGTGCAGGGACATGGAGCTCCTGTGTTCCCCTCCTCACATCACCAATTACTCCACCGAGACCTCCCCAGCACACCCCAAACATCCTCAGAGAAGCCCCAAAGCCCTCCTGGCCTGCAGACAAGCTTCCGTGTGGGAGAATATTGAGGGGAGCATAGTGGCCTCGTGTCATCTATGTCACCCTCCTTGGGTGCCTAAAGACACAATGAGATTATGCAGGGGCACGTACTGGGGTGAACAACCCCCTGAGGGACTGCACCCAGAGGCTCACACTGAGCTGGGCTTCCCCCCGTGCTGCTCTGGCCCAAGGGGAGGAGGACACCCAACTCCCAGCCCAGCAGAAGAACCCAACTTACCCTGAGCACAGTAAAGCCCAGGGAGATCTGCCTCCAGAGAATCACAGAATAGAATTACAGTCTGGTTTGGGTTGGAAAGGACCTTAAACCTTCCAGTTCCAACCCCTGCCATGGGCAGGGACACCTCACACTAGAGCAGGTTGCTCCAAGCCCCTGTGTGCAACCTGGCCTTGAACACTGCCAGGGATGGGGCAGCCACAGCTTCTCAGGGCATCCTGTGCCAGCGCCTCAGCACCCTCACAGGGAAGAGCTTCTGCCTTATATCCAAATCTTCCCTATTTCAGTTTGAACCCATCACCCCTTGTCCTATCACTCCAGTCCCTGATGAAGGTCCCTCTCCAGCATCCTTGTAGCCCCTTCAGACACTGGAAGCTGCTCTGAGGTCTCCAGCAGCTTCTCTTCTCCAGTTTCAACAGCCCCAATGTTCTCAGCCTGTCTCCATACGGGAGGTGCTCCAGCCCCTGAGCATCCTTGTGGCCCCCTCTGGACTTGCCCCTCATCCCCCTAACCAGCTCTCAGGGGAGCACAGGGAGCACCCACTCTGCTTCCACATGCCAGAAACCAGGAGCAAGCTGCCAAGTCCAGGAGGGATCACTCCCCAAGAAGCTTTCTGCCTGCAGAAGGATGGGGCAGGAAATAAAGCCCCAGCTAAGGAGGCAGCAGTGAGGAACCTGCCAGGGCATGAGGAGGAGGGAAGGGCAAGAGCGAGTGTCCCCTCAATGCCCCGCAAAATCCTCTGTATATCACATCCCCCCCCACCTACCACCAGAGTCATAGGCGAGGACATCAGCAAACTCCTGTGCCAAGCTCTCATCGCTGGCAAAGGCACAGATGCAGGCGAAGAAATGAATGCAACGCTGCGGTGTCGGGGTCTCCTCCTCGGCTGGGCTGCCTTTGATGGGCTTTGGAGCCTGGCAGGAGCAGGAGAACCTGTGCTCTGTCAACGTCTTGCTGCTCACCTTCTGGGCAAAGGAGGCATGCAGGTAACCCAGGCTGTGCTTCTGGCTGGCCTTGCACTTCACCACCAGCACGTTCTTGGTGATGCGCTGCACCAGCGGCCCCGTGGGCTCCGTCGCCAGCTGCCATATGGTCTGCTTGGTTTCGTGTGAAGCCTGCATGGAGTTGAGCACTGAGCTCTTCAGGGCGAGCGGGGTGGCCTCTGTCTGGCAGTTCAGGGCCAGTTTGATGTGCTGGCACTGGTTCTCCACCACTCCTTGCGTGGCTGCTTTCAGACACGACGGCACATAGCAGCGGCCGGAGCTGAGCTGCGTGATGATGGTCCCGTCCACCGTCTGGATGGCTGTTTGGGAGACCCCCAGCTCCACAAAGCACCGGTAATCCGGTCCCCGGTCCCTCTGCCTCACTGAGTAGACCTGTAAGTCGGAGCCAGTGATGATCTTGACAGCGTCAACACTGGGCTGTTTGCGTGTGCTGTAGCGGAAGACGGTGCCGCAGTTCTTGTTCTTGCAGCTCAGGCCGCGCATCCCGTTGTACGTGCCGCAGCGGGGACATTTCCGGATGCCCCGGAGCGTGGCTTTCCCCAGGTCAGACAGGAAGGAAGGGACCTTGGTCCTCACCGATGCTGGCTCCATCCTCTGGAGAACCTGGATGGGCAGAGATCAGGGAGGGGAGGAGGTTAGCAGCATGGTGAGGCAGCAGGGATGGGAGGGTGATGTCCCCTGTCCCTGCGGTGTCAGAGGGGAGAAAAGGACAGAGAGAAGAGGAGTGAGTGGTTGCTGGTCCCAGCAGGATGGGCAGGGGTTGGTGCTGGTCCATGTGCTGCCCTGCTGCAGCCTGAGGTGACACGATGCCCCATGGCATTACCCAGTGCCCACCCCGACACCCATCCCCTGCCATTTCCCAGGCTCAGCAGAGCGGGAGGAAAACGGGGGTAAAAAGAGAGGTTCATCCCCGGGGGTAATTAACGTTAAATGAAGGATTTGGGATGGAAATAGTGCTGGGGGATGTGTGATGAGGGGCTCAAAGGGTGCCACAGACACTCCGAGCAGCACTGAAGTGGAAATGACAGGACAGGGCAAAAGCGATGGGGGGAGAACCCGGTGTCAATGGGGCAGGAATGGGGTGATTCTCTCCAGACCCCCTCGCGCTGGGTTTCTGCACACTTTGCCTCCACCCGCTGCTCCCCACCATGGCCAAAACCCCCCTTCCCAGGGGACAACCAGGCACTGAGGTGAGGGATGGAGAGAGCAGGGGACGTTCGTGTCACACTCACAGACCAGTTTGGGTTGAAGGGACCTTAAAGCTCCTCCAGTTCCAACTCTAGAGGACACCTTCCACTAGAGCAGGTCGCTCCA